TCAGTTGTACGCTGTTGCCTTCACTAATTCCGCCGACTCCTCCAGCCGCCATCTCTTCTTTCAAAATTTCAAGATCAGCCTCCAACTCTTCATTCTTGAGTTTCAGCGTGTCTAGCTGAAAATGTCAGAGTGCGACTAAGCGATCTTATCGAAAGGGAAATATAAATGCGATAAAATACGGCACCTCAAGCTGTAGTGCTTCCGCTCTTTCCTCAGCCATTTCCTTATCAATTGTAGCCATTTCCAGCTGTTCTGCCGCAGAGCTCAGCTCATCCTGATTCGCTTCTTTCCACTCACGGCTTTCAATGGCTTCCTGGTATGGTGAGTAGCTCTCAATAGTGATAAGCTAGGAAGCGATTTGCTACCTTTCTTGCTTCTTGCAGCTGCCGTTGCAAGTCCAAGAGCTGATCAGCCATTTTCGATTTCAGCTCCATAAGAGCCTGCAGTTGTATCTTGCTCCTTTCGTAATCAACAAGTTTACTATGGTCTTCTTTGCGTTTGAGCCTAAAATAATTATTTAGATGATCAAAAACAAACATTGAGAGGTAATTAACATAAAATTAGTTACAGTCAAGGTAAGTAACTACGAGAAAAAAAACGAATTACTTACCTCAATGTTTCGAGCTTCTCCGACAAATCCTTCACTTGTAGTTTCAAATACTCTTGCTCAGTTCCTTCATCCATACCCGAAGGTATGCTTGTGTGAATAGGGGACATGGGAGACATTGGGGCAGCAGACTTGAACAAAAAGGTTTTGAGAAATGAGTTATGTGCAAAAAGCAGAAGATAATGTATTAAAAGAGTAAGCTATGAAAGCCCATTAAAACATACTTCTTGTAGTTTTTTCACTTTATCCATCACGCTCTCAGGTTTTTCTGGTGACTTCTCTGGAGGCTTCTCTTCAGAATTCTCTGCTGCTTTCTCCTTGGGTTTTTCTGATGGTTTTTCTTTGGATTTTCCTCCAGGCTTCTCTGCTTTTTCCTTCTCTTGCTTTTCACCCTTCTCTGAGCCAGTCTGTGATAGACTCGAGCTCTCTCGTGCCATTTTTGGCTGAAAAGTGCTCATAAATTTAACCCAAATAATGAATCAAACCAGTGCAAACCCAGTCCGAAGCGTTTTACGAAAGGAAGATGAAGGGTTATTTTTGAGAAAAGCATAGGAGGAGAAGCGTGGTTAGCGAGTAATTTTGAACAGAGGTGAATCGTGATAGCTGGCTAGAAGTGGACGGTGTTCGGGATTCAAGGTTCAGATATTCTAAGTGGACGGAGGAGCTTCAACCTCACCGCAGCGATATTTGATCTCCTAGGCAAATTAGAGTGCTAAAAATAAGAAACTAAGGTTAACTTCATATTGATACAAATCAAATATACATGAGTTTTTGGTACGAAAAACATGATTTAAGAACCTCTAAACCCGAACATGCCAAAAATCATTCAATTTTTCTAAACTACGTACTCGCCCTAACCGAAACCGTACCGTTAGTGAAACATTTGAAGAAGATCTTGTCTTGAGAGGTGTGGTAGACTTTCTCTTCTAAAAACCTTCTAAAAATAAAAGACGAAGGGAATGCAAATGAAAGACAGGAAGGGGATAAAGACGAGTTCAAGAATTAGTTAGAGGGCATATGAGCTTACCGCGTCAGCAGCATCCGCTAGTCTGGATGAGGAGTGGACTTTCTTTGGTCCTGGTGCCTTTGATAGTCGTTCCAATGAGACAGATGGGCTCACTTTTGGACTACCCTGAAAATACCTGATCAAGTGAAA